AGGTCAGGGTGCGGAACTCACACCTTCGCAATGGTGGGTCCCCCAGTAGGGTCCAGCCAGCTTCCCGGCGCCCCAGTGTCCTGGAGCCATTGTCGCATCGGACTTCTGAAGCCCAAAGAAGAAGGCGGTAGCAGCTCCGAGAAATGGCCGCGGCGCCCGCGCAAGGGTGAGTGCAAAATACCTGTCCGGGTCAGGACGAATTAACCAAGCGGCAGTCCAGGTTCATTGTGGGATTGATTCGATGCCCCTTAACTAAGGGGCATCCCAAAAACCCAGTAATTGACGGACGTTACTTCACGAAGTACGTTAACGTTCTCTCGACGGAATTTAACTTGGACCACAGAACGTCCTGAGTTCATGGGTTTGTGCAGGACACACGACCCAGGCGTGCTCATGGCACGCGCCCTTGTTGCAGTCAAGGCAATACAACGGGTTATTTCCAGAAAGCGGTCAATCAAACATTTCCGACAAACGGTCGATTCCCAGGCCGAACGCAAAATTCCAGTCCAAATAAAATCCCTTCCGGCTGCATGTGCATGCAAAGTACCAGCAACACAGCTACCTCAAGGTGACGACTTATGAATGCGCGCAATGTCATCAGCCATGTGGCGTCAGCAAATTGGCTTCAGAAAACCTCCAATTCGGTGTTCGGCATCCATGCGAGCACTGTAGTTCTCACTATATGTGTGCATACCAAATTTGCAGAGCTCTCTTGAGAATGCTGGGAAAACAAATCTACCATTAGAAGCAGACACTGCCCTGAAGCGCTGCTTTTGCGGCCATCAAGAGATTTACTAAGAGGCTGTTAACGTGAGCCGCCCATTTTATGATAATGGAGCGTGAACGAGTCTTCGTCGACCGTAGGCCGCGATTCGGTGCTTAAGGCGCCAGCATCCTGCTTCCCGTCGACATGGATCGTGCATCACCAGGATCGCTCGGCGCACATGCCTTCAGGCTGCCTTGTATGTCCGCCCAGCGCCATTACGGCGCGATCGATGGGCAGCGCACGGCTTGGCGCAGCTGCGCGCTCCTTCTGGTGCGTTCCAGCGTGCCACGCGGCCGTGACTCACGGCACCATGCCGCCCTACGGTAAAGAATCGTATGTGCCTGTGCGCCGACCCCATCACAGGTCGGGTAGCGCTTTTTCCAACGCATTTTGGCAAGGACGTGCTTTTCAGCATCCTGCGCGGTCTGTTCGGCCAGCTGCACAGCCGCCGCTTCAGTTTCTACCAGAGCGAGTGGCAAGAACCCAGACAGCCCTGGGGATGCCGCGAGGTGCCATGCCAGGGTCGGGAGACGCAATTAGGACCGGAAAGTTGGCTCTGAGGCCCTTACAAGACAGCGATGCAAGCACAACTGCTCATCCACCCAGAACGTCTGCCGCCAACAAAGTTTCCTCGCGACTTGGCCCGATCGCCTCACTCGGCACCCAACGGCAACCAGCGTAGCACCGCCAAACACCAAACACGAACGAATGGTAGAATGGCGACCCCACAGCCGCCCACGGCTCTTTTGTAGAACGGAAATGTCCCTTGGATCCCGCAAAGGTCACATACGGGCCCTTCGAAAGGGGCAGCACCCTTCCGATCTCACATACGGCGTAGCCACACGCTGATGACGCAATGCATACTCAGATTGCACGCATTGAACATGACACTAGTGTACCAGACTCCCATCAGCTCAATGGCTGAACACCCCCCATACTTTACCGCACTCCAGTACCTCGTGACCAAGACCAAAACCAAAGGAATGTACATCATTTTTCAAGCGTATCAGGGATCTCCAAATGGCGTCTTGACTTCCTAATTTCTACTTGTTTTCTCAACACGCAATCCAACCCATCACAGGAAAAGGGTCAAATCCAAGCATGTTCACAGAAAATTCCTACGAAATACCACAGATCCTGACACAATTCACAACCATTTGCAGTGCAATCAAGGACATACGCTGATGCTTTTTAGTCCCAAAGGACCAACTCCATCAAATCACGTAAGGTTCGACATATCATCCTCTAGCTAGTAGATTCCTTTCTTCCCTTTCAAAACCATATTTCTGCTGACCTACCATGCCAACGTCACTTGCCATCACAGAATTCCTCCAAACTCGCCGCCTTGCTGCCACCATGGAATCCACGGACATCGTATCCATTGATCAAGCGATGGTCACAAAGCATTGCATGAAATGATACCATACTTTATGGCATTTCCCAGCGCCCTCGCTCAACACATGCCCCAATGTACTTCATTCTTCCTCCTGCTCATACAGAAGACATAGAGTACTACACAGAGGTGGATATGGTGGGGACCTGTGGTGCACTACTGCGGCTGCGCAGATGCATAAAAAAGAATGAGCCTATCAGTTTCAATGCATGCCCATTCTTCTCAGGGCATGGCGGCCTGTTTGGCGAAGCCTTGTGGCATTGCTGCCACACTTCCCCACGTCTTAAAAGAAAAGATTTTTTAGGGTTTTCTAGTCCTGCGCTTTTAGCGTGGACAGGCGCCCAAGACGCCCCTGTCTGACAGGTTCCGGGGGTCTTCTGTCTACATGCGCTCTCTGCATGCTGGCCTATACATTACAATCCCAGTCCATCTCCCTCCTACCCACCAGCACCATCACTTTATTTTTTGTTTCTTTCTTTTCAATCCCGCGCTTTTCTATTTTAACACAGGCATGCATGTCTGACATGCATTTAAACCACATCAAGCCAGCTGCATCCCTTTCCGGTGGTGTCCTGAGGTCACGACCCACACAGGGCTTCGTGGCAGTGATGGTAAACATTTTTCACATGCTGTACAGGTCGATTAGGTCCCAGCTCCCCTCAGACCGCTGACATGCCTGCCTCGCCCACGGGAAGAATACAACATGTATGTCAGGACATCTCCGTTGTGCTTGGGCTCATTCGCTGTGGAAAGGGCGGATCTGCTGGGAGGCACCGAAGAGCCGCGTCTGCGGCTGCGGTGATTGAGCACGGCGATTTGGTCGTACACGAATGTGGGTCATATCCGGTCAGAGTGGGACTGCGTGCTGTTTAGTTGGAAGGCCAACACTGGGTGACACTTGCATGCACTTTAGGGACATTCTTTCTGCCCCAAGGGGGCATCCTCTTCACGTAGTTAACTGAGGCATGACCACGCCTTTGCTCCGTCGGAGCTGCATCGTGGCCAAGAGCGGGTGCTTTTTGAGTGGGTCGCCTCGCGCATGTACTGACGAGGTGATGGACCCCAAGTAACATGTGTAATGTAACGTCGTGCGGGACAATAGGGTTGGGGTGTGTCTGGGTCTGCGTGTGCGGCGGGGTGGGGTGGGGTGGGGGAAGATGGGCAGTAACCCCTCAAGACGCCGAATTGCCAATGCTGCGCTCCATTCGCTGATTTCGCAAATGCCGAAGGGTATAGCATGCCATGAGGTGCAACTCCCTCGATCTGCATAGCAACGACACCAGCAGTGATGTTTTGGGCGGTAACAAAGAAGCAGCAACAACAACACACTACTGTGTTGTGACAGCACATTATCAAGAACACACACCTCGTTACAAGACACACCCAGACACCACATCGTTCGCCCAGCCCAATCCCCGCCCCCTCCCCTCCCAATTGAGACAAACGGGCATGTCCTCAAATACACTCCTCCTGCTGCCAGCAAACACTTATTACGGCCTATCTACGCGTCCAGCCACATGATGTGCACAAAACAACGATGGCAAATGGCGTCAACCTCCCCCCGCCCCGGCCACGCCGCAGGCCACGCGGCTGCGGCGGTGGCCATCCTGCCCATCCTTCATAACACCCAGTTGATGGTTGATGCGCACCGAACGAGCTGTGTATACAAATCGAGATGCCCCTCGCCGCCCAGTGTTGTACAAATGGCGATTGTCCCAAAAGTGGCCACCACCCCTAATTCCAAAAAGGGCACACCTCGCCAAACATCCCAAAAGGCCCCCCTTCCATTTATTCGCGACCCACACGTCGTTTATGCCAACGGATGAGCAACATACAACACACACGTGCCAGTCGCGCACGGAGGCCGGAAGCCCCCGCCCCAAAAATTGCACTGCGCGCACAAGCGCAGGACCGAGAGGCAGGCAGCCGTCGCGGCAGCCCGCGGCCAACGGCGTCTCGCCCCTGGCCTCGATCCTGAGCGCTCGTGACACAGGCCCGCCCCCACGCACTCTGTGCAAGCGCCGAGGCGCATCAAGAGCTGCGGGAGGCGCTACTACCCATCTGGGCAACCACAAAGTCTGTGTGCAAAGAGCACCGTTTATTCTGCAAGACGCCTCCGTGAATCCACGGGGGGCGCCCCCAAGACGACGGGACCGTCCTAATTCCCACCTACCGGGCCCGCCCTTTATGCCCACGAATTATGACACAGCCTGCTCACGCCAAATCCCCCCCACCCCCCGTCAAAGTTGCAAGAATGCTACCCAATTGGCGCCGTGGTCAACAATTCTGCCGGTCAATGCCGGGATACTGCGTTCCCAGAGACGGGCCTTTATGCACGGCTCCCCTGGTCCGTCAACTCAACACCACCACTCCAATGCACAAGGGACTGCTAAAGGCCTCAAAGTACAGTCAAGCAAGAGAAGCAAGCATCTGTCCGGAATCCACAGCCTTCCGTCCAGATTCCACAGCCTTATATCCAGAATCCACATTTTTCCATCCCATATTTCCATCCAATTTTCCTGCCTGCGGCCGACGTGCTTTCGGTTCCGGCAGCCAACTCCATGCACCGCCATCAGGCACTAGTTCACCTCCAAAGCCTCAGTGCTCCAGAGCTCCAAAACACCTGCCGCTGGCAAACCACCGGCAGTCTGTCGCCCTCCCATTCCCCCACCCTGCCCTTTCATTACACCAGCAGCTCCACATCAGCCCCATTTTCTTCACCCAACCCCTCTTCTTGATCTTAAATTAAGTGCTCCTTTAAGAGGCTTCTGAGTTCTTTTCAACAGGCATTTTTAAGCCCCAGCCCCAGCCCAACACCCTCTAACAAGACAGCAACATCGTTCAGGCAGGCAAGACCATGCCTGCAGGCACAAAAAAACCCGTGCCATGTGGCGGCGGCCTCCTCATGGATCCCCTGTGGCCGGCGTGCCCTCCCGTGCGCTTGGGCGTGTGCGTGTACCCCATCATGCGCCTCGGGGATGCCTCCGCCCTGTAGTGAGGCAGCGCGCCAGCGCAGCGCCTCTGTGGCGTGGGCAACACCCGGCCGGCGGACATCCTCACCGGTGAGGGCGTGGTCATCATCTGACTCATTCTTGTCGGGCTGGTGGGCATCCGAACCGGGGTCGCGACCATGGCACTCATCCGCGTCGGGCTCGCTGACTGTGGCGGTGCATCAGCAGGAGGGGAAGACACCATCTGCTGCATGGGAGGCATGGGCGCCATCCTCATGGCGGCAGCAGCGGGGTTCGCGCGGCTCGGGGCCGTGCGCAGCGGCGCCACGGGCCTCTGGGGCTTCACGACGATCTGCGCCACGGCGAGGTCGTGCTCCTCGTCACTGGATGGGTCCTCGGCCACAGGCGTGGACGGCCTCGGCGGCTCCTCGGGGGGTGGTGAAACCCACCCTGGCCGGGCCTCGGGCTCAACGGGCTGGAATGCAACATGAACGGATTCTGTCAGCAAAATCCTTGTCGCTGAAGCGCGACTGAGCATACCTGCTGTACTGATGCATTTTGACTGTATTCATTGTTCTGCGAAACCACTGTGATATGGAGGAGCTTGCCTGCTGCACTCATGCGCATTGATTGTGCTACTTATTCTATGAAATCGCTGTGCTATGCAGGCGGATATCTGCTGAACTGTTGCATATTGATTGTGCCCATTGTTCTATGAAAACACTGTGCCATGTGGCAGCATGCACATGAACGGCAATGCTTCTGGACAGTGAAACGGTTCCAGCGACAAGACACCCAAACTCTGCTGATAAAGCTGGCCTTCCTATCATACCACTACTTCTTATCTTAATCTTATCACAATCTTATCACAATCTTACCACAATCTTATCACAAGTTGTTCTTTGGCTGCTTGGTTAGGTTGGGCTGGCACCTGGAATCCATGATGTGATGCAATGTTTCACAACAAATGCTGCAGTTCCACTCACAATGTGGCGTTTGTTGCCACATCTGCCCCATCACCTTGTTCTTTGGCTGCTCAGCTGGGATGACCTGGTGCCTTAGCCCGACTGGCAAAAGCATGTCTGACAGGGATCGAACCGGGCAACACTGGGCAGGGTGCCCCACTGCTCTACCAAAGTATCTGGACCAGGGGCAGGAAGAGGGCAGTCTGGACCCTAGGCACCCTTCCACACCTGGTACACCTGGTACATGGTACGTATATATGGTATACCTGGTACACTGGTACACCTGGTACATGGAATCCGCGCTGCGATGCAGTGTTTCGCAACACACAAGGCAGTCCCACTCACATCTTGCTGGCTCTCCCGTTCGGTCAATGCCTCCTGCTCGCTCTCCACCTCCCGAACACTCTTCACCTCCTGCTCGCTCTCCACTTCGCGCTGGCTCTCTGCCTCCTCCTCGTCTTTCTGGGGCCGGTACCAAGGCGCGCAGATGGGCTTTCCTGAGCTCAGCTGGAACTCCACCAGCTTCTTCACATCCTCCTTGGGCACCACGGGCACCTGCTTCTGCGAGTGCTGCACGTGGCACCACGCCAGGGCAGCCTCCATCGACCGGAACCTCCTTGCGCTCTTCTCTTTGCCCCCAACAGGCGACGGGCTGCCGCCCAGCTCTGGTGTGGCGCTCCTCGCCCTCACCATCAGTGGTGTGGGGCCCCCTTGCATCTCAACAGGCACACTCGTGCGGCCATGCAGCACCGGCGGAGGTGGTGAGACGCCTGCTGGGATCGGCATGGGCGCGCACATGGGCAGCCTGACCGGCTTGGGCGGCCTCGCAGCCGCTGGCATACCCTCCATGGCCACAGGATGGATGGGCGGAGGGATCATCCCCGGCACGCCATACTGCTGGGGCGGGTAGGCACCCCAAGGAAGGGGCATGCCCGCCATTGAGACAGCTGGCGGCGGGCTCATCATCGCATAGGGCCCACTGACTGGCACCGGCATGGGCACGGGGGACATCCTCTGGTCGATGTACATGCCCGGTGGCGTGACGGGCCTCCCGCCAAACGGCGCCATGCCAAGCGTGGGGCTGATGTGGTGCACCATGTGTGGCGGCGGGGATGGCCAGCCAGGGATGGGGCTGATCATGCGCGGTGGCGGCGGTGGCGAGGCGGCCTCCCTGTCGGACCGCCGCGAGCGGGCGCGGGGGCGGGGGGGCGAGGGCGGCCGGGGGCTGCTGCGCACGTTGTGGCTGGCCTCGAAAGACGGGGCGCTGGCGGGGCTCAGGGGCTCTGTGCGGGCACAAGGCACAAATTGGTTTGAACAGCTGCACAGGAACAGAACCTGAGAGAAATGGTTCCAGGAACAGCATGTATGAGGAAAGGAAAAGCACAGCAGACAAAGTGTGGAGGTTTGCAAGAACTTTCAGCAGTTAAAGGCAGCGCCAAAAACAACAACAAATACAAAGCCCAAAGGTCATATGGCCCCCAAGTATGGGTCAACAGCAATTGGCAGACAGAAAGAATTAATTTGTAGGATATCATCTTCAGCATCAGCTAAAAGAACATCAGCTAGCTGCCTAGATTTTTGCCTAGATCTTGGACCCTCATGCCCCTTTCTTGTTCATGCAAAAGCTGACCGCATGCAGTGCTCACAGTCAAACACTTAAAATCACCATGATCTGCTCACAAAACAGCCTCTTTGCATGACAACATGGCGGCTGACTGAACGCCTTGAGCTCCAGGTGTGCAAGTGCCTTAAACCGCAGGCCTGTGTCCCTGGCTGCACATCTTAACACAACAACAGAACTTGCCTTCCGACAGACAACAATGGGATCAGTGAAAACATATCACACACACTGGGCCTGCGGCACCTACCGTCCTGGTCCTTGCCATCGTTGCCATCCTGCTCATCTCTCTTTGCAGCGGCGCAGCCGCCGGCTGCCTTCTGCGCCTGCTCCCTCTGCAGCTCATTTTGCGCGGCTATCGCAATAGCCCTCTGCAGGAGGTCCACGTTCAGGTCCAGGCTTGGCGACGTCAGCAGCTGGCCAGGCAGGAGCTTATGAACGTCACGAGGGTCGACGTCGCTTTTCTGCAGTTCACAACACGGGCATCATATCATAACTGCAGCTCGGGTCAGTTCGCGCTGACCAAGTCTGAGCATGACACAGTATCCAAGGAAAAGTGCCTTTGTATGCCAGTGCTCTGCCCCTTCGCACAGAGCATGTTTGACAAGCGCAGCTTACAGCCAGAGGCCATTTGAGCAGTCAGCAGTTGGAGTGCTGGAGACAGGACTTGCGTTCCCCTGACATACAATAGCATGACTTTAATCCTTGCTCATACATTGGTTTTTCAGGTACAAATGTATAGGACAAAGCATTACACTCGGGAGGAACAAAAAACCAAGGTGGACGAGGTGGACCACTTCAGGAGCACATTCTAAAGATCGAGGACATACTAGCATATCCGCCAACTGCCAACACAGAGCAGTGACACAACGTACTAGTGGTCGCACTGCCTGAAATCTAAGCATCAACTGCAACCAGCAACACAGACACCCACATCCGGTTGCTGTAACGAGGGAAGCGATGCAACAATCACCGAAATTGTAACAATCGCCCACACTGGTTGTTGCAACAAGGAAGCACGGTCACGCACATCTTTCTCCATCAGCCTGTGCATCATGGACCCCGCCTGGCTTAGGTCGATGGGCGCCCGTACTGGGCTTTCGCAGCCCGCCTCGGCATCCTTATTTCCGTCCCCTTCCTCCTCTGAGCAACACCACGACAGACAATCGTGCAAATCAGTCAAACGATGTCAAGGAGCAGTTGTTCGGCCAAGCAAAAATGGCAACCCACTGACACAGCACCAGCTGCTGATTGGCCAGCCCACGACTCGGGACAGTCATGTTTTATAGGAACACTCTCTGAGGCTCGGCACATTCGGCCGGCATTTTGTCGTCGGTTTGTACAACGCCGCCCGCAATTTCAGTGATCGACCAGCGGGAAGCGCTCGCCTGCGAGCCCAGCCCCCGTCGGGCAGCCGACGACGCAGGCCACCCCCCTTTCGATCCGGGGATTTTCTGCGGCGCGGCATTTCCGAGGGCCATTTTCTCTGCAACGTTTGCGACGCCGCCCGCATTTCAGCGATCCGGCAGCGCGGGGAGCGCCCGGCAGGCCCACAGCCCCCGTCGAGCTGCCTGCGACCGAGGCCAACCCCTTTTCGATGCAGCGCTTTCCGCAGGTCGGCATTTTCCAGCGGCGTTTTCTCCGCTTTTCTTGCGACCTTGCGCGCGTTTCGGCGAACGAGCGGCACAGGGAGGGCCCGACGACAGCGCACTGACGACCGGCCCCCGTCGGGCAGCTGAAGACCCAGGCCAGCCCTTTTTTGGTTGCGGCGCGTTCCGTGGCTCGGCATCTTCACGCCTTGTTTTTTAACGCCACGCGGATTTATGTGATCGAGCGATGCGGGGAGAGTCCAGTGGCAGCGAACATGCGCACGGGGCCCGTTGGGCACCCGACGACCCAGACCAGTGTTTTTTTGTTGCGGCGCATTCCGTGGATCGGCATTTTCCCGCCGCCTTTTCGAATGCCGCGCGCATTCTCAGCGATCGAGCGGCGCGGTGATCGCATGACCGCCAAAAGCACCGCGGCGTCCGCCCGGGGCGATCCACCCCAGAGAGCCAAAGCGCGCGTTCCAGACAGCCAGGCCAACGAATCGCGGCACCCACTGCTCCAAACCCACCGCCGTCGACTAGCCCCGATTCCCACCGCGCTGGGCCCCCAGCCGCAAATGCCCTTGCCCGCAAAGCGGAAACCATGGAGAGAATATTGACAAACAAAATGACGGCCAAAAGCGCAACGATTCCAGAAAAACAGAGTCAGAGAGCGCACAAACGCAAACACGCCGATTCCCACCGCGCTGCGCAGCCCAGCCGCAGCCGCCTGCGCCCACAAACCCCAAGCCATGGCGGGAGAAAATTGACAAAAGATGACGAGAAAACACGCCTAAGAGTCAGGATCAACAGGGCCGGGGAGCACACACAAAAGCAAACACACAACCCCAAGCGGAGGCGTGGGGATTGGGTGGCAGGGGGGTTTGGGGTAACAAGCAAAATGGGGGTGGGGGGAGGGAGAGGCAAAATCGTGCTTACCCGCAAAGTCCGCGAACACGCTGGCCTGTGTCCTGTGTGTAGCGTCGCCCCGCGAATGCGAGCGCTCCGACAGCGGGCCGCCGACCTCGGTCGCCTCCTCCGCGGCGGCCGAGCGAACATCACGATCAACATCATCATCTCGTGGCGTGGAGGCGAACGCCGACGCCAGCGAGGTGGACCCCCTGCGACGTACCACGGCCAAGCCTGTCGGCCACCGGCCGGCCCGGCGCCAATCGGCGGGCGCATTCCGTCGGGAAAAATATTCCCGGGCGGGATCTTTTGGCGCGGGCGGCAAGGCAGTACATGAGCGGCCCACAGCACAAACGGCGCCCGGGGGACCAACCCCGCCCCACTCCCCACCCGCCTACCCCGGCAAGGCTATCGCAACGGCACCCCCACCCCGATTGCCGGCACACAGCCGCGAAATCAGCGCCGCTCTCCGCGAAAAAAAATCCCCTAGACCGCGATCCCACCTACCCCGATCGATGCGTCTCCACTCCCGCAGCCAGCCTGCCGTCCTCCCCGCGCCTCGGCGCCAGCCGGCCGCAGCCGCTCATCGAGCCGTCCACCGGCGCCATGCCGCCACAATCGCCCAACTCGCTAGATCCCACCCTGTGTTCAATTCACCTCCAGATCCTTCACGCTCCCACCCCCCAAGGCCCAACCTCCTCCGCGCCTATCCGCCCAGTAGCCGGCCAATTCTCCCCAGCCAGCTCAAATTTTCCCTCCCGAAAATCTAACCACCGATTCTAAAGGCGCTCGGGCTGGACGCAATGCCCGTTGAGCGATCGTTCGGGCGGCGCAGCTCCAGGGAAGGCCACACGCCACGCGGCTTGCCGATTTCGGAAAGGCCAATCGCGCGGCGCCAACGCCTGATCCCCACCACCGCCTTCAAGACCCGTCCTTCGCCAAACGCAGAGTCGTTCGAAACCAGAAAACCGCTCTCCTCCTTCCCCCTCTCTCCTCCGTCTCCTCGTCCTCCAAGAGCCTCCGGAGCCTCCGCTTGCTCACGGCAAATCTTGCCCCCCGCCCGTCTCTTATGGCCCCCGTCAAACCAGCCCATCAACGCCCCTGAATCCCCATTTAAGCCCCATTAAATTCCATTGGGCCGCGTCACACTTCCGATGTACGGTACCAAACGGTTTGTCGAGTTGCCGTGTACGTACGCGGTTGGGTAAGCGTACGTACTGGTGCCGTCAACCCCCTTGCCCCACCCCCAACCCCAAAGCGGCTCCGACAGTCTCGCATATAGCCCCCGCTGTTGGCGCCGCCGGCTTGTGAATAGACTCTTCGTGCGGCTCTTGGCCGGCCAGCGCTGCCCATCTCCCCGTTCTGGCGCGGTTGGTGGCGCCTTGTCGCAGCGAAGGTGACCGAGCCCATCACCGCGGCCGCCCCGCGCAATCTAGCGCCGGCAATCGGCCATCCCGCTCATGGGGCGTGGAATCATGCCATGCGCAGAGATTCACGCCATTCGTGTCGATTCGCAAGTTCTTGCAGCTCCGTTTCGATGCTCGCCAAGCCCCGTTTTCGCGAATGCCCGGCGCTTTCCATAGCCCTCAACGGCCAACCCGCGCACGCGCCATTGATCCATGCCTTTCACTTCGATTCATGCCATTCATATCGATCCACACATTCTCGCAGCTCCCATCTGACCCTAGCCAAGCCCCTTTGCCGCGGCTGGCCAAAGCTTTGGAGAGCACGAAAATCGGCCGACCTTCCATGCAGCGCCGCTTCATGCCATGTGTATCGATTCCTAAGCCCTCGCAGCCCCATTTTGCCCCTCGCCAAGCCCACTTTCCCAGTACATTCCTCCTAACATTCCTTGGGCCCGCTTGGTCCCCCTTCCTGTGGCCATTCGAGCCCATCTGTGCGCACATTCGGTGGCGCACCCAGCATCGATTCTTGCCATTCATATTAATTCATCAATTCACAGATCCAACTCAACAGCTGAATTCAATCAATGCCATGTTCATTCACATCAATTCACCGCTCTCTTTCGACTTCAGCAATTCACAGCCTGCTTTTGAAGCGCGCTGGGCCCTCTTTTCCCGCACATTCCGCCCACCATTCCTTCCACCAGCTTCCCCTCCCATCCCTCCGGCCATTAGAGCCCATCTCTGCACACAACCGGTCGATCTTCCCGCCGATCACGGCGGTCAATCCCTCACAGACTTCATCCTCCCACTTCACACCGCCGAAATAAACGGAAAAAATAACAAAAAAAAGTTCTATGCCTTGCTCGGTCCCCGCGCACACACACACGCACACACGCAGGGTCAGTAACACGGCCTCCTGAATCGTGACTGGATCTAACTGATGTCGTACCCAGCGCTGGCTGCGGACAGCCCCTGCGCCAGCCATCAGTGCGGCACCAGCGCCAGTACAGTGCCGCCCGGGCAGTACAAATGCGCCCATGGTAGACATGGCCCTCACGCAGCGTTACGGGATGGCGGTGCCGCAGCACGCAATGGACGGCTTCCGCTGAGATCTGCGCGATCCAAGCGTGCGGCGCCCAGCCCCCAGATTGTCCTAATTAGGAAAGGCTTGTTAGTGGTGCAGTTTCGGCTGCCGGCCTCCCCCCATTAGTACGCTGCACAGCACAACACACTAAAAGTACAGAGAGCCCCGAGGCGGCATGACGGGATGTCGGCGCTGCGGCGCGTAATGTACCACGGCTTCCCGGCAGATCTGCGCGATCAAAACGTGCGGCGCACCGCCCTTAGGTTACCATCCTTTGCTAATTGGGAATAGTGGCACGGGCGCCGGTGCCGGCCTTACCTCTCCTGATTAGGATTAGTGGCGCAAGCTGCGCTGTGCAGTACAAAAGTAGAGGGGGCTGTGTGGCAGCGTGACGGGATGGCGGTGCTGCGGCACGTAATGTACCGCGGCTTCACTGCAGATCTGCACGATCAAAACGTCCGGTGCAGCGCCCTCTGGTCACCGCCCTTTCCTATTTCGCATCAGCAGTGCGCGCTGGGTCGCCTACCCTAATTAGGATTAGTAGCGCACTCTGCCCCTCATCGGGATGCTGCACTGTAGAAGCCCTCAGGCAGCATGACGGGATGGCGGTGCCGCAGCACACAATCCACGGATTCCCGGCACATCTGCACGGTCACAACGTGCGGCGCACTGCCCTTAGGGTACCGCTATTCCTAATTAGGATCAGTGGTGCGGAATGGCTTGGCATTCTTTCCTACTTAGGATTAGGAAAGGGTGGTAAACTGAGGGCGGCAACCTGAGTCGCACTTCTAATTAGGATTAGTGGCGCAGAGCGGGCTGCCGCCCTTGCCCAAGGAGGATTCCCTATGCCACCCTCCCCCCTTGATCAGTTCCGCTGTGCGGGCACACACCGTTTGACCAACATTGACCAGCATTGACTTTCCATTGACCGCAAGGACGGCGCCATGCAGGAGAGTTCGGGTGCCGCGCCGCAGCGCCCGTTGACCGGTTTGACCGGGTCAACTGATTGCCTGCAAAGCGCCGATGCGCGGGAGTTTCTGGCGGCCCTTGATGCAATCCCCGAGCCCCATTCGCGGGCGATCGATCCGGGGGCGGACATCTTCGTGGCCAGGGCCCCCGGGCGCCTGGACGTCTTCGGGGGATTTGCGGACTACTCGGGCAGCATGGCGCTGCAGATGCCCACGGCGGAGGCCTGCTTCGCAGCCGCGCAGGTCAGCGGCAGATTCGATAGATGGCATCGGGATGAAATCCTTGGTTTAAAATTTCCTGAGAAACGCGATTTATTTGATGGTTTTTGGATGGAATCCTTTGTTCGAAATCCTGCGAGTTGTAGAAATCCTGTGTTTGAAATTGCGTGCGAAACGCGGTTCCTTTCACTGCATTTCGCTGAAGACCTTCGTTTGAAACTGCGTGCAACAAACGACGCCTTTGATCACAGCTGGCTGAAGTCGTTTGACTAACAATGCCTTCGCAAAAGGCGACCCGTGATCGCAATTGGTTAAAAAACCACTGGTCGCACTCAGCTGAATTCCTCAGGTTAAAATCACTTCCCAAACGCGACTCCTCTTGCTGCAAAGAACAGAAATACTTTGTTCAACATTGCCAGGAGTGCGACTCCATTGACAGCAATGGCAGCAATCCTGCGTTGAAACTCCCTCCAAAAAGAATCTCTCTGATCGCGTTGGGCTGAAATCCTCTGCGTAGAACTCCCTCGGACAAGACAATCCCTTTGATAACTGTTTGCCAAAAACCGTTGTTCTAAAGCTGACCCCAAGAGGATTTCTTTGTTCACATTTTGTGTACAGTGACAGCACACAGCGCTTGCGCCTTGTGGGCGATGGCCGGCAGGTACAGACATTAAGATCAAGGCCGGGCACAGTGTTTGTCCAAAAGGCGTTGTTGAATGATCCCAAATCCGAGCACGGTTCAGGGAAGAGCTTCCAGATGGCTGGGGTCCACTGAGTCCTGTGAAAGCATTGCCCTGCATGGGACAGATCGGTGCCCCTGCACCTTGGCAGAGATCATGGGCATGTGCGCGAATGCGCACTTTTCATTCACCCCAAACTGCTCGTGTTGCTGGGCACCACCCATCTGCTCATGCCATTAGTGACCACAATCTGAATTGGGGAAATCTGTGCACCAGGTCCACATGGCCAGTTGGCTGAATTCGTCCAATTATGATCATGGCAAACTCAGCACATTGGTCTCAGCCCCTGTGCGCAGATTTTCCCAGTGCAGAGTGTGTTTGCCAACATTGGTGACCACTGTTCTGCACTGGAATCCAGTCCCACAGTCAAGAGTGTGTCTGCTTCAATGCAAATGCCCACCTGTGCCACAAAACTGGGGTTAGGTTTCTCTGTTTATCGATTGAGGTTTGCACTTTACGCCAGCGCACAGATGCATGGGATGCATTAGTCATGCATGCTCACGCGCAAGGATGCACGAGCCATTGGGGTACAAGATGTGGAGTTCTGTGTGCCCAACATTGCCTGCGATGTGCAAGGACACTATGTTCGAGAAAAGACACTTTGAATCAAAGCCTAACAGCAAAGTGCCAGGGTTCAGTTCAACCCACTTCAGTCTTATCGTTGCTAATCCAAATGATCTCGTTCATTCCTTTTCACTCCGAACATTCATCTGTTGATTGTGCCTTTGAATTTGTGCTAGCAGCGCCATCACACACCGACTGCCAATAGCTGCCTGTTTTGCTTTATTTCCTACCACCAAGGTGCCCGGACAGCACCACTAGTCCATCAAATGATTCTGTGCCATTACTTTCTAATTTGGCCACACTTCCAGCTAGTCACACCATTCACCTCGTGACAAAAAACTCATTCAGTCGCCATCATTGAGAAATCTTATTCATCACCATCAGTCACTGGCTGCTGACAGTGAGTTGTTTCCATCAAGACACTTCACAAACAGGACTACTTTAGCCCAGGCTAACTTCAGACGCACTGCAAACAGGATCACTCCATTGGCAGTTGTGAAAATTGGCCTTCGAAAGAACAGGATCATGCCTGAGAAATAGCAGGATTAAGTCTCGGGATTGGAATCAAACAACGGGATTGAGCCTCAGGGTGTGCCTGAATTGACAGGCATGAGTTTCTTCACTAACAAGATCAATCCCTTTCGCACCCAGACCACACACACCCCTTTCTTGGGCCCCCCCGCTTCGCCCATGCGCAGGTCACATCCGCCGGGACGGCCACACCCACCCTAAAAGCCCTGTCCCTCAGGGCCCAACCCAACGGCCAAAGGCGCCTGGACGCCTGGACTTCGCCCCTGGGCCCCCTGGTCCGGCCTCTTAACTACTGCGCTGCCGGGGACCTGTTCCGTGGCAGCGAGTGGGCTGCCTACATCGCGGGCGCCGCGGTGGTGCTGGGCATGGAGGGGCTGTGGCCTGTCAACGCGGTCAACGCTTCGGTCAATGCAGTCAACGTTCTGATCGTCGTGAGGTCGAATGTGGCAGAGGGGAGGGGGGTGGCGAGCTCGGCGGCAGTGGAGGTGGCGGCGATGAAGGCGCTGCTGGCGGCGGTGGGCAGGGCAGACTTGCCGGTGGGTGGGGATGGACCTTTTCAAGATTTCTTTTATGTTTTCCCTTCCATTTTGTCAGTGTTTTTTCATAGCTTTATTGCGGGGCGTTTTCTGTCAGTGTTTTCCAGCGTTTCATGTCTCTGCAAGATTTTGTCAGGATTGTTTCCAGCATTTGCTCGCAGGACTTTTTTCAAGAGGTCAGGGTTTCTTTTAGGATGTTTTCGTTCAAGATCATGTTGAGCCAGCGGTCTGCTTGAGGCCGTGATAAGGAACGTGGTAAGAAACGGGCGTTCTGGATTTCACACTTGCCTTCCTGTCGCAGTGGTGAGTAATGATTGATCGGAGCACAAGAGGGATGTGGGGAGCGGTTCTCAAGTGTGTGATGTTGAGCGGCAGCTGGGCAGTTGAAACCAGTCAATCGCTCCAGTCACTGCACCCAGTAACTGCAACCACTGCACCAAAAAACTGCATTCGCTGCAGTCAGTCGCTGCAATCACTGCAGTCAGTCGCTGCAATCACCGCAGTCAGACACTGCAATCACTGCAGTCAGACACTGCAATCACTGCAGTCAGTCGCTGCAATCACCACCGTCAGTCGCTGCAGTCACCGCAGTCAGCCACTGCAATCACTGCAGTCATTTACTTCACCACCATCTTGCGAACTCCCCGGAGAAACAGTACATGGGCATCTGCAGAATGGCACAGCTTGTACGGTAGCCAAGCACCTGTCTGCCAGGTTTTTGTGTCCAAGGGCTGCCGTCACAATGGACCCCCTTGGCACACTTTGCAGCTTTGCCTTGTTTTTTCTCTCCTTGGCCTTTTCTGCCTCATTTCTGCTCCTTCCTAGTTTCCGTTTTGATTTTTGTTTTTGTTCCTTTCTCTCCCCTGTTCCTCGCTTTAGTTATTTGTTTTGTTTTTCTTTTTTAATCGGCTGCTGTCCCCCTGACTGCTTAGCCCCGCCTGTGCTTCGCAGGGCCGCGACTTGGCCCTCCTGTGCCAAAAGGTCGAGAACTTGGTCGTGGGCGCGCCCTGCGGCGTCATGGACCAAATGGCCTCCGCCATGGGGCCCCCGGCCCGCCTGCTGCCCATCCTCTGCCACACCGCGGAGGCCCAGCCGCCCATATCGATACCCGACCATATCCGATTGTACGGTATCGATTCCGGGGTCCTGCACTCGGTGCGGGACGACGCCTACTGTCGTGTGCGCGCGGCGGCGTTTATGGGATTAAAAATGATTTCCGACATGAAAAAAGTCCTACCATCGTGCCTTGCGGCCTTAAGCCCCAGCGAGTGGATAGGCGATCTCGAGGAAATCCTTCCGGCGGAAATTTCTGGGGAGGAGTTTCTGGCGGCGCACGGCCCCCACGTGGATCACGTGACAACCGTAGATGACCATATGCACTACCGTATTCGCGCCGCGACGCGGCACCCGATCTTGGAAAATTTCCGGGTTAAATTGTTTCGGCAACTTCTGGGGGCGCCGCCGAGCAACGCGCAACTACTGGCCTTGGGGGAGCTCATGTTTCAGTCGCATGCCAGTTACAGGGCCTGCGGATTGGGCTCTAAGGGAACGGACGCGATTGTTGACTTGGTCAAACATGAGGCTGACCTCGTCACGGGCCAACGACCAGGCGTTGACCAGGTCAACACCCAGGCGTTGACTTTGGGCGGCGTGTTCGGGGCGAAGAGCAGCGGAGCGGGCTGCGGGGGTACGGTTTGCGTCATGGCGTCGAATGACGACGCAGGCAGGGCGGCGGTGGAGAGGGTGGCGAGGGAGTACGGCGAGCGATATGGCATAGAAGGCCGTATTTTCGATATGAAATACGGTGAACGACACAGGGCGTGCTCCTGGTGCGTCAAGGTGTGCAGAGAGGGGTGAGAATGGCCACCAGCTAGTCGGGATGGCGCATCTAATACAACGTGATACATAAATGCGACGCAAGACCTTGTTGATTACTAAAAGAAGGCGCTCGCATCCCGACACTTGTGAGCCTTGAAGGCTTTCTGGTCGCAGGGATGAGAACAGACAATGTACATGTCAAATTGTGGGTGGGTGTGCGGTGCAACGCTTTGCAACAGAAGAACAGGCAGCGCCTCAATCAAGTTGCGAGAGGGCATCTGGTGAAATATTTGCGACACAAGAGAACAGACGGCGTTGAGCATTCATCATTCATTCATGCAGCAATTTGCGTGGTGCAGAAAAGAGTCTTGTCCTTGGGCGAGGCCGAGTGCGAGCTGCAAGTAAAGAGGGCGCCATGCCGCACAACGGGCACACTCCTTGCTGGAAGGGTTGTCAACCCATTTGCCCACTCCAAAACATGGGTGGCACGAGGCTCACGTATCTTGCGAAAGGACGGGGGAGGCACCTGGACACTGAAATGTGATGTGCTTTTTGGAATCATAGAAAAACCTCCAAAACGTTTTGCGAAAACCGTGTCCGAAACATGGCCTTCGTGTAGCACAGTGAAAGTCTTCAAAAGATTCGCCCGTCCCCTGCCCCAGAGCGGTTGAAGAGAGCGGCAAAGGTCGGCGAGATTGGGTCGCTTTGCATGCGTGTCGCTAGCAAATCGGTTACAGATATACGGGCAAAACCTGCCCCCTGGCGATGCATGTCCAGACGCATGCAATCCAAAGGACATGGACAGAAACGCTGACAGAAACCGCAGCGATTCTCACAGGTTCACCCAGAAACCCCAGCAGCCCGTACGATGGGCATGCCATGGGTGCATCACGCCGAAATCCGAACGTTTGAAATCGAAAGCAGCTGGCTTTGAGGGCAAACTGGTCGGGCCACACGCCACACGACCTGCGCGCAAAGGGTTCATACTCGGAGAACACCAGCAAGGCGCTTGCAACTTCACAAATTGCTGCTCGTTCCGTTGCATTCCCTCCAATACGGGCAGCGCGACCTTGTGGCACCGCACATATTGCGGCAGCCACCTAAAATGGCCCCTCTACCACATCTGATCCACTTTGATCCTTTAATATCCTGTGAAGTCTGGGAGTTCACATCATATTCCCTCCCAACCCGTTCTATACCCGAACGGGTGTGCCATTTTTGTAAACTATTACTAGCCACACACATCATCTTCATGCAAGGTTTGCATCAACGCCAACGCGGCACGCAGTCCAGGCTGTAGAAAATTTGCAACTTCAGCCACCCTTTGGCATATTAGATTCGATCAAACAACTGCAGCACTTCGCACAGCTGCCATCATGGGGATTTTGAGTGTCATGACGTCACTCAGCGCATTCAACGGCCATTCTATCCATGCCAACACATGGCAAACAAATGCCACCTCTGATGTTTGTTCAGCAAATAGGCCATGGCGCCATGGCCTGGCTGTCAAGTGGCACTAAAGAATAATAAAACACCAGACATTGCAGTGGGTAAGAAATGGCGTCACACGTCCGTGCAGCCCATCCTGAATCATTTTCACGTCATCCTGACCCTGAAGCGTGTGCTAGGTCATGCAGCCTTCCCCGCAGCAGTAACCGAGGTGTCAAACATGCAGCATGCCAACATTTTGACTCATTTTTTGATGGAGGAGTTGGGCGTCATATCCTTGAGTCGAAAGTGCAGTCTGAGTTCAATGCGCTGACGTAGTACATGTCCACAGTTGCGTGCACTTTGTGCTGCTCTGGCCATGGCCATTGATGATGCTCAAATCCCTTGCTGTTGATATCTGGTCCTCAATATTGCACCTTAGTCTGCCATGGTCTATCTGCTGAATTTCGGACCACATTCTGGGCTTCACGCAGCGCCAATTTATCGATAGTACGTAGACATATTGATTGCCAGTCGTTGTGTTAGATTGACACCATTTATTGGCGACCCGAGCAATTTGCATCACATTGACTACCTCCAATAAGAAGTACATCGTCCATCCTATATATAGGATTTAATACATAGGATTTAATATATATTAAATGTCCTCTAATTGCAAGAGAAAATTCGTACAATAAAGGCATCAAAACAAGGTCCGAATCAGAAAGATAGGGTTACCAAACTCTATACTACCAATTTTTGAGGAAAAACGTCAGTCCCACCCCTTGAAGGACACCCACGAGATTGCCCTTGGATTCGGAAAAAATTGTGCCCACCAATTCCGCTTCTTCTGGAGATCCACACAGTTTTGGGTCGCTCCCCTCCCGGGCAGCCAAGAGAGGTAGCTTCGCTACTGCTGTGGCGAAGAGGTACTTCCCTCGCGTGGAATAACAAACGTCAAACACGCTCGACAGTGTTTGGATCTTCATGGCAGAAGGCCATCGTTGCAACATCGCTGATGCCAAAGATCGCCGTGATCCTAGATCCAAGATATAAGGACCTGCCATGAGCAGAACAGGCCAAGATCCAGGACGTTCAAGCCTAGGTTCCATGCGCTCTACCACTTCAAGGTATTTGGATGGCTTTGCGTGGATAGCTTGCCTCGATCGATCCTTGCATCGAGGTCTTTGCAGGCAGCTTGGCCCACAATCCATCAATTGCCACTAACAACCGCCTCTTGTGCGGTCCACAATCCATCGCCACCTATCTAGTCTATGCTCATAAAAGAGACATGGTGTTAGCCACCTAACTATCCTCTTTGTGTCTAGCCGTTCGAAATTCCACAGTACAGCCGATTTCGCCACTCTCGTGTTGATGACAATTCCCACAATCGGCGGCTGCTAAATGCTGTGTTGGGCTTCACCTTCACTGTCACCTTGTCAAGGGGATTCAGCGGCACCCTCTGTTGTCTCGACAGCACCAACAGCAGACGAAAAGCCCTGGCTCCAAGAATCAGGGGCCAGAAGGCAGCTCTGGTCCACCAGGCCAGGACTGAATTTCAGCTATAAGCTATGGAGAACTGCACGATCAGGGACTTTGGAACGCGTTTCCTATTGCCGCGCTTCCTCACAAGCACCACGCTGATCTTATATCCGAGCTGCATGGATAGTTTTGCATGGGCGGCTCTGTTTCGCCGCCACGAAAGCATGCTCCTCAAAACAATGAAAATGGCTGTTTTCGCAGAGTCGTTGAAAGACAGTTGGGTTTTTGGCTGGAGGGCCTTTACTACAAAGTATCGCCAAATCCTCAATACCTAACGGATTAACTTGAATTTCAACTGCATATTCCAAAAACGTAGCCACAGCTTTGGACGAATTTCATTGAAAAAGGAAGAATTTGCGATGGAGAGGTGATGTGTCCATATCACTGAGAACATTTATTATGGGACGGAGGAAGTATAAGAAGCGTTTCGGAGCAGAAGGGGCACACCCCTCCATAGCAAGAAATTCTAAGTCCTTGCAGCGCCACAAAAGTAATAGAATCCCACAGCGAAACCGGAATGCATCACGGCTGGCAATGCGCCCCGGTGCAATCCCTTCAACGCGCCTTCGACAAGACCAACCGGTGCCCTGGCACCTTGCGGGCTGCGACGAGCACGTACACATCCAAGAATGCTGCCGCTGTCCCTATCCATTCACTTCACCCCCACCCAAGCGTGTGGTCGGACACTGCCGCATGACTGACGTCCCAATCGTGTATCGGTGTCCCGCAGCGAGCCACGCAGCCATGGGTTTTCCAAAAGCGAGTCTGTGAGCACTGAGCTGGCATAGTCGAGGTGCTGGACGCGCTCGCCCAACATATAAATTAAACATTTCTGCCACACATGCGCACATTTCCTCCCTCCGGCCAGATGCTGCAGCAGCGCTCACATTCCCAGCACATTCTCAGCACATTCCCGTTATCGCTCCGGCCAAAGCCAAACGCGCAACGGCCTCTCCCCCCCGCCCCCCGCCACCCCTCGTAAGGTTCCACCAAGGCAGTCAAAAAATTCGTTGCATTTTCAAAAACGGCGCTCTAGCTAAGCACGACCGAACTCCCCGGCCCGTCTTGCCCCTTACCCCCCCAAACAAAGAATTTTCACCCTGCGCATATACATCCTCAAGCTCCTTCCCCCACACCACTTGTGAGTGCCCTAGTTAGGGCGGCATGCCCAGGCTTGAAGGGGCAGCCTGCAGGCCTTGTGCAGCCCGCAGGCCCTGTGCAGCCCACATTCTGACCGCTCAGCACACCCTTGAACGGAAAGTGGCACAATGCGATACTGCCGTAAAGTACCAAGGACTGTGGCCCTTTTGCCCTGAATAGTGTTCCAGTCTTGCGACTGGATGGCTGTGCTGTAAGCAAAGCCAACCCGCCTCGACCACGGCACACAGGCAACTGAGTGAGCCCCCTCCAACGGCGGTGGCAAGCCGCCCCATATCTTTGAAACGCCTCTAAGAAATTTAAAAGAACTATGCTTGAAGCCCGCAATCCCCATCCGCCCTTTTCTTCTCATGGATTCCACAAGTCATCTGGTGAGAGCTGCCGCTGGATGCACTTCCCACAGGTGCTTATTGGCTCTCGTCTATCGTTCTTCCAAGTCCTTTCACCATCTTGTGTGCTATCAACAGCCATCCACCAGATTGTGCCAAGTCATGCCCTTGCCCCCACCCTCCACCCTCCACCCTCGACATCGCCAGCTCGGTGGAAGGGCCTGTCTTGCCATGCAACGACAAGTATGCAATCGATGGAATTCCACCCTCCACCCCAATTCCTCACATTCTGGTGCCTTTCTCACTGCCACACCCTGTTCACCAAAGGTGCCTGCCCATGCAGTTTGGCACCCGGCCAGTCCCCCACAGGCGTCTGAACCAACTGACAGCGCTGCGCAGGAGGAGCAAGCTTGCTGCACTATCCATCAGCCAATGCAAACGTGCGCCCAGACCAGCACACGAGCAAGGCACCCTAGCGTCTGTACATCTCTTCAGCAGCGCATGCACATGGTCACGGCCTCGGCAGTTTCACAAAATTATGGACATGACTCTCCCTGAGGCCCGGCCCACTAATCGCTGAGC